TTCCTGCTTCCTTGACCTAGAAATGTCCCAGTGGCATTGGAAAATCTGTAACATAACTCATTTTACCTGTGCACTGGGGTAGGGGGAAGAGTTTTATTTCCTGTCTGTGAAATAAGGTCATTCTGTTCATTCTTAGGCAAACTAGAACAGCCAGTTCTAATGGAATTTAAAAATGGGAAGTTGACAATTTTTGACATCATGTTTGGGGAGGATGTTTCCATCTAAGCTGTGTGGGTGCAGCCCCTGGTTTAAGAGAGGAATTGCCCTGTTCAAATCTTGTGCTTGCATGACAAAATGTTACATTTCTAGGTTTAGCTAAACTAAAACTCTTTTAATTGCAGTATGCTTCAGAAGATGCAGAGCTCCTATTAGTTGGAAATAAACTGGACTGTGAAGCTGATCGAGAGATTAGTCGACAGCAAGGAGAGAAGGTAAGAAGAGGTCTAAGCAGGGTTTTGGGGTTCAGAGCAAAGCTGCTGTGCTGTGGGTGCTGAAGAGCCAAGAGCTGGGTCTCAAAAGGGAGGTTTCTCCACTCAGGACTTCTTGGTGAGCTGCCTTCCAGAGGTTTGCTTTTTGGTGGTGTTTTATTGATGACGTAGCTCAGCTTTGTTTCCCTGTTTCTTTGGTTCTCCTCCAACCCCAAAAGTGGTCAAGAAGCTGACAGGAGGATGGTTTAGCATGATGTTGGTGAGGACACTGCCAATATGGACAGACACAAACATTTTCCTTCAGCTACCCATCGTGTGTGGAAGCAAAACCTTTTCTGTTGCAGAGCCCAGGCTAATTCTGACCTTGTACTTCTCTGCATTTTAATAATAATCTGAGATTACCTCTTCTGAGAAGTTCTTGGCAATCTGCAGTAATCCACATCCACTGAAGACATTGAATTTTTCAGATTTAAGCTTTGAAAAGTGCAGCACTCTTCCACTAAACCCATTTTAAATGAAAATTAACCCTATTTGCTGTACCTTGGAGGGCTGGGATTATTAACTGAATTAAACCAGTCACAGATTTGGGGAAATTTGTGGGTTTTTTTTTAAAAAAAGGTTTGATGAGGAGCCTGTATTGGCTGCTTGTGTGTCTCTTGTAGTTACTTTGTTTTCTCTCCCACCAGTTTGCACAGCAGATAACTGGGATGCGGTTCTGTGAAGCAAGTGCCAAGGATAATTTTAATGTGGATGAGATATTCCTAAAACTTGTTGATGACATTCTGAAAAAGGTAAAATACTCAGGAGGTGGCTCCTGTGACCCCAGAAACGGGCAGGGCTCGACTGCAGGAGCTTTTTGGGAGGATGGAGAGGGGCAGCAGACACTGTTGATGACATTCTGAAAAAGGTAAAATACTCAGGAGGTGTCTCCTGTGACCCCAGAAACGGGCAGGGCTCAGTGACTGCAGGAGCTCGTTGGGAGGATGGAGAGGGGGAGCAGACACGGTCTGAGGAAGCTTTTGGTCTGTACATGGTGGGCATGGTGTAGTTCACAGGCTGCTGTTGAATTTCCTCCTATTTCCTAGAATTCCTCATTCCTAAAACTTCACAATCTTATCAGCAGCTGACTGTGCATTTGCCCACGTTCATTTTGTGGGCCATTCCGTTGTGATGTGGTGTAATTGGTGTAGGAAGTGGCTTTATTTCAACAATGCCTTGTCATTTTTTCCTGAAACTCCTCACACAACTGAAATAGACCCAAAAAGTCCTGAAGCTGAGACTTTGGCTGACAAGGAACCTTCAAAACAAGTTTTTTATGCCGAGTTCTATGCAGATGGCTGTTGACGGGTGATTTTTCTTCTCTTTAAGATGCCACTGGATGTGATAAGAAACGAGTTGTCCAACAGCATCCTGTCCCTGCAACCAGAACCAGAAATCCCACCAGAACTGCCTCCTCCAAGGCCACACGTCCGTTGCTGTTGACTTGTTCACCCCACAGAGTGGGAAGTAGGAGTTGGGAGGGTGAAGCAAAGGATCTGTCCTACTCTGCACTACAATCATTCGGCGGTTTCTCGTTGCACTTTTATTCGAGTCAGAGCTACACACTAACTTGTAAATATGCAAATATGCAATCCTGTGTAGGATTCAGCTATAACATTTAATTATTGCCCCTCTTCCCCCCCCTCCATGATGTCTCATTCATTGCCCCAGTGTTATAAATACTGTACAGTGGGTCGGGGTTTGCCACGCGTCCCGTCGAGGAGGAGAAATGAAATCTATACCTATTCTTGACATAAATGTTGTCATAGTTCTTTGTTATTATAAACAGGCAGAAGCTCTTCTGGTATGAAGATAAGTATATGGTGCTTTGCTAACTATTTTAAAGACAAATTTTTTAAAAAAACAGAGGACTTTATGTACAAAGCTTCCATCATCAGCATTCTGTTTTTCCTTTTAATGTAGTGAGACCGTTTTTTTTGGCCGTAGCATCCTCTGCTGACTGGATTTATTGAAAAGCTAAGTTGAATTTTCTTTTTTTGGGCAGTCTTTTATTTATTTTTCTTTCCTGCTGCACCCTTTCTTTGTGTACCACCACATCCCATCTGGTGCAGATCTAAGGTTGCACTCTGAAATCACACGTAGGATTTTCTCTGTAGGCATCAGCTCGGTTGCAAGAATCACTAAGCTTCAATAAAAGAGTGGAGATTTATTCAAACTCTAAAAGAAGGTGTCAAAAGCAATGCTGCTGTCCTAGACAAATTAAAAAATAAGCAAATGAAGGTGATAAATTTTCCTGTGGTAAGGATTATCTGTGTGTATTTGTCTGGACATCTGTAGGGTCAAGGGGAAGGGAACCTAAGGTCAAATTATTTCCTAAAGAGGGAAACGATTCCCCTGAAGCAAATACTGTGTTAGGTTTATTTTTTTTTTTGTCTGATAATGAATTTGTGACTTCTCTCTTTGGTCTCTCTTTTATTCAAATGCACTGTTTAGTTTAGCTGTGGTAAATCAGTAGTGACCTAATGGGAATAACTTGGTGTGTCCTGAATGTCGTGGTGTTGAAAAGCATCGTGGTCTTTCTAAACTCATGGAAGTGCAAAGAAAATTCTCTCTTTCTGAACGACAGTGGAACTGCAGCTGTTCTTAGGATGGCAGAGGCTCAGCTGTGGAGCAGAGGCCCAGCCCAGGAGGTGGAACAACACTTGTTGTCCTGTTGTTGGGGTGTGTGAAGACTCCCGCGGGCGCAGCGAGGAGAGCAGCAGAGGTTAGTTGGCCACCTCGGGCACTGCTCGGTTGGGAGGGCAGCTGATGAGCAGCTGACAGCTTCAGACAGCACCTGACTGCTCCTCAGGCTGTCAGGCACCCAGCTATGAACCACACTGGCAACACAACCACCAACCAGACTCTTCCTCACTGCAGCTTCTCTCCCTCCGGTGCTGAAAACCCGTTTGCTCCCTTTGGCCACTCATCCAGCCAGCACGCTGGCCCAGGCCAGTGAGTTCTACCACTGACTTCAACACCTTCTCTCTGTTTTCTGGAAGGAAATAAAAGACAAAAAGACACAGCAGACTGTTAAGCATTTAAAAACACAGATTGAAACAGAGCCCTTGTTCCAGGGGGTGAGCTCTGAGCTGGAGCACACCCAGATGCCAAGGGAAGGAAGCGTGGTTGATACTTGTGCTCACACCTCCTGCCACCTTGTGCCTAAAGAGTTTGCTTCTGTACCTGGGAAACTTCACCCTGGTGAGAGAAAAATCCCCTCCCAAAGCACTTGCAGGCTTTCTGATGGTACTGTGGGCAACAGCAAGGAAGGGAAACATGATGGAAAACGAGTTTTAACTTGACAACCGTTTTATTTTAGCTGATTTGTTTTTATTTGTACTTAGAAACTTGTGATTTTTTTTTTTTTTTCCCCTGCCGTTTTGAATTTAATAAAAATTAAGAAATTTGACTTAGACCAACTTTCTTTTTGGCATTCTGTGCTGTTTGTGTGGAGGTAGATGGGGATCCCAGTCTCTGGTACCAAAAATTACTGCTGTAGAAAGACACATTGACTTACAAGTGCTTGAGTGTATTTGATTATTCATTGGAAATCATAAAAAAAACAGTCAGGAAGCCTGTTTGCTTTGCATCCATTATACTGTGAGACTGAAGAGGGGTTTGTCTCCTGGTTTTATTCCTCTGCAACTTTTATACAAGTCCAAAAAAGTTCATTTATGTCCTTGAAATACCTGGCAGGCATTTGCAGTGTGACAGGGGGAAAGAAAAAGTGATTCTTGCAGCCCTGTTGCCTCATCTGGAAGTAGCAGGAGTGCCAGGAGTAGGGTGGTGACCTCTGCTCCAAAGCAGTGGTGGTTTCTTGACTTGCATGAGGTATGATGGTAGATGGACCATGGCTGTTGAGCAATGGTTTGCAACCAACTTCAGCGTGCTCAGGATTGAATCCAGTGAATTCCTGAGATCACACAGTTCCAGTGGTGTCTGTGCTCAGCCCTGCATCTTCTTGTGTCCTCCCAAGGGACAGGACAAGAGGAAACAGCCTCAAGTTGCACCAGGGGAGGTTGGGGTTGGACATGAGGAAAAATGTCCTCTCTGTCAAGCTCTGGCCCAGGCAAGGCTGGAGACCCCATCCCCTCAGCTGCTTCTCACCACACTTGTGCTGCCTGAAAATCTCCCTTTTAAAACAGCTTAAATGGCTCCATTTGACATCATGGAATCCCTGAGGTTGGAAAGGACCTTTTAAGATCCAATCCAAGTGGTGTATGTTAGACTAACACTTTTTATTTCTGCTTGAAAGATGGAAACCTGATTTGCTGTAGTTTTTAAGAAGTTGAACTTGCTTTGTCCAAGCTGGTTGTCAGGAGGGCTGCATTGAGTGCAGGGTTTGCTCTTTCTCTTCCCCTCCTGCCTTAGAACATCTCAAGTGGTCAGAACATCAGCCTTGAGGGCGTGCTGTAAATCCCTCCCCACTCAAGAAGGAGAAGTGGGAATGGCAGAGTTCATATGGGGCTGAAATGGGCCCTTTGGAGTACAGGGAGGTTTTTCCAGCAGGACTTTGGGTTCCCTGCCAAGGCAGGTGCACTGGGGGAGCTCGTCCATTAGAGGTCACTGAAGCTCCACCACTGCAGGCATCTGGGACCTGTCCTCTTGGGTTAACAACTGCTGCTTCTCCTGCCCCTGGCAGAACTCAGACCATCTTAATTTTCTTCTTAGAATTGCCCCTAAAATCTGCTCTTTGTGCTGCTGCTTGATTTATCTTGAGTGAAATTATTGTTCCTTCCAACTCTGGCCAAAATATACATCAACTATCTCTGACAAAGGGTGTTTGCCTGGAAATTATAAAGGTCAAAGTTTCATTTTAAGTACTTCAGAGGTCCAACTGGATGCTTTACTCTCCCAGGCTGCTGTTCTGGCACAGGGCATTGCAGGCTCAAAGCTATGAAAACAAAATTTGATGTCACTCTGGGTCAATTCCAGCCCTTGCAAAAGAATCCAGTGTTCTGTAGATCCTAACAGAGAGGTAGGAAACCTTCAGGGTTTCTTTTATTCCTAATTTGAAACGTTTCCTTCCTGAGGATGATTTTGGTCTCTTAGGAAGCAGGAGTCGTGGTTGGTTTTGGTTTATGTTGTGGGGAGGGAATGAAGATCAGCACCAGGGTGACTGAGGCTCTTCAGTGGCATCTTTATTTCCTGGAGCAGCTTCCAGAAGTGAAGGAAGAAGAAATTTAGATTAGAACCAGGAAACTAAACAAACCAAGGTGAATGTGAGAGGAATGAGAGGTTGGGTGATAAATGCCCTCAGCCAACCAGGGAGATGTTTCTGCAAAGGCCATGATGAGGTGTGAAATGTGGCTGTAGGAGACCAAGGTCACAGAATCCCAGCACAGTGGGGTTGGGAGGGACCTCTGGAGATCATCTCATCCCACCCCCTGCTCCAGCAGCTCACCCACAGCAGCATCACATCCAGGCAGGGCACCTGCACTCCCACCAAGCTGAGAAATGCAGAAGCCCTGTCCAGAAGCCTGGAAAACAAATGGTTGTGGTTCAACAGGAGGGAAAAACTGGTAAATAGCTGTGTTGAAAGACAAAAGTGCCCTTGAAACTGAATCTCCTGCTGCCTCCAGTCCATCTTTGTCACATCTTCATCCCTTTGGTTGCAGCTGGGACAAGGGACTCGAGGCTGGATAAAATAGCAGCTGACATCTTCAAAGACAAAAGACAGGGAGGAAAACAAGATCTGGCTGTGCAAGGGAGACCATCCACTCAGAAAATGCTTTTCCATTCAATTCCTGGCTGTCCTCAGAGCAGTAATTGCAGTTGCAGGAAGCTCAAGGTAAGGAGGAAATTGAGGTTTATGTCTTTCTGGGTCATATGATACTGAGGAGTGAAACTGGGAGAGGATAGATTTAAGTCTTGGCCACTCTGCTAGGCTCTGCCAGCAGCTCCTAAAGACAGAGTAGTTTGCTGAAATTGGAAGTGTCATTGGGCTCTTCTCCCAAGGAACAAGTGATAGGACCAGAGGAAATGGCCCCAAGTTGCACCAGGGGGAGGTTTAGGTTGGATATTAGGAAAAAATTCCTTACTGAAAGGGTTGGCCCAGGGCAGTGGTGGTGTCTCCATCCCCTTGAGGGGCCAGGGCAGTGGTGGTGTCTCCATCCCCTGAGGGGCTTAAAAGTTGTGTAGACGTGGTGCTGAGGGATGCTAAGTTTGGTTCATGGTTGAACTTGATGATCTTAAAGGTCTTTTCCAACCTAAACGATCCTATGATATTGGAACCAAAAGGAGGATGGAGATCATGACCAGTTCAACTTCTCCTTTCCCAGTAAACAGCCACAGTGTGCAGTTAGGTCAGTGAGAAGCAGAGAACTTCAGTCTTCCTGCAACAGAAGTCAACTTCTGCACAGCTCAAAGGAAGTGACCTATCAGTGCTGGAGGGCTTCAAAGAGGGTTTTGTCTCCTGGAGGGCTCCAGATGAAAATTAGATGTTCACCTCCAGGAGCCAGCCCGTCCTTGGAGTACCTCAGTTACCAGCAGGCACCAGGCTTGATGAGTTCAACCAGTTCCAATCAGCCACCACCCAGAACCTGAATGCCCAGTGAGTTCATAGAGGGAAAACTCCAAGTTTTTGGAAAAACTTGAGCAAGTCAATGGTTCTGGAGAAAGTCTCAAGTTGTCCCAGCTCTGCCTCAAGAAGGGGACGAGGAGCAGGTCATGTTTTCACCTGCAGCACAAGATGAGAGTAACCTGGACAGGAGGGAGGATGCAGATGTGAGCAGGGATGTGGGACATCCCATCTCAGACATCACATGCCAAGCAGGATTCCAGCTGAGACTTCCACCATTCTTCACATCCTCTTGGTCTCCTGTGAGGGGCTTCAGCCAAGGCTGGACTTGTTGCCTTCCTCCTCTGGCAGGCCTGCTCAGCCTCATCTTTGATCTCTGTGTTGGAAAACATGTCTCAGCCATGGCTGACACCTTGATCTCCCTCCTGAGCACATGACCCATCAGGTCACCTTCTCTCCTGGAGTCTATCAGAAAGCTGGGGACACACTTTTCATCAGGGCCTGTTGGGACAGGACCAGGGGGGATGGTTTGAAAC